GATTTGTTGTATTTTGAACCCAATCTTTCTTTGTAAAAGGCATTAAGTTAATCATATGGATTTCAAAGTTAAGGATTCATTAGTTTGAATATACATTGAACCAAACACTATAATAACATCTTCAGTTGATAATTCAGTATACTTTATTTTAGACAAAACAGTGACAGTAATGTTTTGGTAGCGACCACATCACATTACAGAATTTTAACTCGCATACTAAAACATGCTAAGATACTAATGATTTGCATAACTGTACAAAAATGTTGTTTATTTCCCCCAAATAAATGATTATTTGTTCCCTTTTGTCACTACCAAAACAATGATGGCATGTTTCGGTCATGACTGTTTCGGTAGTGACAATTTAAGATACTTTTGAGCCTAGTTCAAAGATAACCATCACATGGTTAACTAGCACAGTTCTGGATAGTTGTACACACACAAAAACTAAATTTTATCGAATAACACTCAAAACAACATGATGTCACAACCGAAACTTCACTACATGTTTCGGTAGTGACTGTTTCGGTAGTGACAATTTAAGATACTTTTGAGCCTAGTTCAAAGATGATAACCAGCACATGGTTACCTAGCATTGTTCTGAACAGTTCTACACACATACAAACAAAATGTTATGGAATTACACCCAACAAAGTTTGCTTAATTGCAGAAAAAAGGTGTTTGGTAGTGACCTCCCTTAAAGTTACACACAGATTTTCAGACTTTTGAATATTTCCCTCAAAATGATGGTACCTATCTATAATGAAAGAGAGGCTATGAAAGAGAGGCACACAATAATATTTCTGATCAAAAATGTAGGGGTGTGGTTAAAATCAGTCTCAGCCTATGGACTAAAACACACACTGTTTTGGTAGTGACATGAAAATGCGGGACACATTTTTTTACATAAAGTTTCATGATTTAAAAATAAAATATAAAATAAATGTTTTTTTTTTACTTTACTTTTTAAAAGAAATCAAAAAGATATTTTTAAAAACAACAATGGAAAAAATGTAAAAAAAAATATTTCAATATTTTTGAAATTTAGGGGTGAGGGTTCGGGATAGCCACCTCCCAATTGAAAGTACCCAATAAATGATGATCTTATATAAATTAAGCTTACTTATATTTTAAATATTATTGTAGGATTCAATAGATAATAGAAGGATCTTAGTAAACATCTAAAATTTGAATACTTAAATGCTTTTTAAATGTGTTTTTTGGTTGCTGGTGTCACGATTTCAATGTGTTTTAGTTCTGTCTTGAGATCTTGTTTCCCCCGTCTTTTGTGACTTTTGGTTCAGTCCTGTTAGTTTTCCCGCCATGTCTGATTAGAAATTCCCTGCACCTGTTTTCTGTTAATCATCCCATTAGTCCCTGTTCATTTAAGCCCTGTGTTTTCCCTCAGTGTTTGTTGGTCGTCGTCCGTGTATGGTTGTATGTTTTGAAGTCCTGGAGTTCCTTTCCCTTTGTTTTTGTCTGTTCATGGAAGTTAAGTTTGTAAATAAATACCTATATCGCAAGTTCCGTGTCCTCGTCTTCAGCAGCCTGCTACAACCTGACAGAACGACCAACCCTTACAAAAAGGAAACAGATACCTGACGGTATGGATCCAGCAGTTCTGTTTCTCCTGAACCTGCGCCAAGGAGACCTCACCATAGAGGATTATGTAAGAGAGTTTTGTGAACGCTCTCAGCTGGTGGACTTCAATGATGTGGCTCTAAAGGACTTTTTTAGGATAGGGTTAAATGAACCTATCCGGTCTTGTTTGCCAGGTGGGAAGATTCACTTTTCCCTGGCTCAATACCTAGACCATGCCCTTTGGTTGAGCGGCTCAACTTTGACCGTGGGAGACATCGAGCCTGAGCTTCCCTGCGTAGTTAAGTTTAATTACGAGGTTGATGACTTCACCGATCTTCCTCCTCTCATCGGTCCAGAAGTGCCAGAGTTTCCTTCACCGCTGGTTCCGTCCAGCCCAGCCAAGCCCTCACCGCTGGTTCCGTCCAGCCCAGCCAAGCCCGCACCGCTGGTTCCGTCCAGCCCAGCCAAGCCCTCACCGCTGGTTCCGTCCAGCCCAGTCAAGCCCGCACCGCTGGTTCCGTCCAGTCCAGTCAAGCCCTCACCGCTGGTTCCGTCCAGCCCAGCCAAGCCTGCACCGCTGGTTCCGTCCAGCCAATCCGAGCCTGCCCGCCAGAGCCTGAGCCCGTCGCCTGCCCGCCAGAGCCTGAGCCCGTCGCCTGCCCGCCAGAGCCTGAGCCCGCTGATCCTGCGCCAGAGCCCGCTGATCCTGCGCCAGAGCCCGCTGATCCTGCGCCAGAGCCCGCTGATCCTGCGCCAGAGCCCGCTGATCCTGCGCCAGAGCCCGCTGATCCTGCGCCAGAGCCCGCTGATCCTGCGCCAGTCCTGTCTAGCCCAGAGTTTCCTTTGCCACTGGTCCTGCTTAGTTCAAAGTCCTCGTCACTGCTGGTCCTGCCCAGCCCAAGACTCTCGTTGCTGCCGGTTCCCCCCTGTCCTGTCAAGTTTCCCATTAAAATTTTGGGGGGGCGCCCACCCGAAGGGACTTCACCGCCCTGGCCGCCTGAAGGGCCTTCACCACCGTGGCCGCCTGAAGGGCCTTCACCACCGTGGCCGCCTGAAGGGCCTTCACCACCGTGGCCGCCTGAAGGGCCTTCACCACCGTGGCCGCCTGAAGGGTCTTCACCACCGTGGCCGCCTGAAGGGTCTTCACCACCGTGGCCGTCCGAAGGGTCGTCACCGCCCTGGACGTCCGAGGGTCCGACAGCTCCGCCCTGGACGCCCGAGGGTCCGACAGCTCCGCCCTGGACGCCCGAGGGTCCGACAGCACCGCCCTGGACGTCCGAGGGTTCAACAGGTCAGCCCTGGACGCCCGAGGGTCCGACAGCTCCGCCCTGGACGCCCGAGGGTCCGACAGCTCAGCCCTGGACGCCCGAGGGTCCGACAGCTCCGCCCTGGACGCCCAAGGGTTCGTCTGCTCAGCCCTGGCCACGCCCACGTCCTGCTCCGCCCTGGCCACGCCCACGTCCAGCTCCGCCGTGGCCACGCCCACGTCCAGCTCCGCCGTGGCCACGCCCACATCCAGCTCCGCCATGGCCACGTCCACAGCCGGTTCCACCCCGGTTCCCCAAGCTACCAGCTCCGCCCTGGAGGCTTCCTGTCCCTGCATCACCATGCCCTCGTCAGCCTCCAGGGCGCCCACCCTCCCACCCCTTTGGATGTTGTACGGCGCGAGGTCGCGCCTTCGGAGAGGGGGGGGTACTGTCACGATTTCAATGTGTTTTAGTTCTGTCTTGAGATCTTGTTTCCCCCGTCTTTTGTGACTTTTGGTTCAGTCCTGTTAGTTTTCCCGCCATGTCTGATTAGAAATTCCCTGCACCTGTTTTCTGTTAATCATCCCATTAGTCCCTGTTCATTTAAGCCCTGTGTTTTCCCTCAGTGTTTGTTGGTCGTCGTCCGTGTATGGTTGTATGTTTTGAAGTCCTGGAGTTCCTTTCCCTTTGTTTTTGTCTGTTCATGGAAGTTAAGTTTGTAAATAAATACCTATATCGCAAGTTCCGTGTCCTCGTCTTCAGCAGCCTGCTACAACCTGACAGCTGGACAGTAGTTTGCACCAATTCTGTAGAATGACCCACATCTAACACGGATGGATCTCTAACTGTCGCGATAATTTAAAACTCTCCTGATATTAGAGTAACAATTACAGAAGAATAAAATAAAGCATATTGTTACCTTTTGTAGCTTGGAAGGGTGCAGTTTGAGCAGATGTTTTATACCATCATCACTGTCCCCGTCACCGCTCATTTTCAACATCTTCAAAATCAGTATTCTGATCTTCTTCATCAGATCCACCATCAAGTGACAGTGACACTAATATTTAATTGTGTTCAGTACTTGCTCTGCAGTAAATCACTGAGCCATTTCAAGTTTTGCTGATGATACTTCCCATTCTTTTTGTTTTCTGCCTGCAGTAACTATGAGTGAAACTTCACTTCATTGTGTTTTAGTCATTGCCACCTTGTTGAATTGGACTTATTCAGTCATCAAAGATTAAATTATTGTTGTGCAGAAAAAAATATACCTACACTGTTACACACCTCGAGCCGTTAGTGACCCTATACAACTTTTACAAAAAAAATGAATGGGAAAACAGGCATTATTTTATTAAATTATTGTTTATATTTATAATGAATTGCTTGAAGAATACTAAGAAGGTTGATGTCTAACTTTAAAAAATGATTAAGGAGGAGGGTAGTGAATGACGTCACAGGTCACTATAGACCCGAGGTATGCATTTAAGGATTCGAATGTGCCAGCTACTTAACATCCAGTCTGGCTTTTTTTAGAATACAGATTTATTCAATGGAGATGACTATGAGTTTCAAAAGTTTAGGGATTTAGGCCTAACAGTAGGTTAATAAAAGCAGAAATTTTGTCATTTCTCTCTCTCTCTCTCTCTCTCTCTCTGCGTGTTTGTTTATATACAGTATATATATATATATATATATAGCACAGCATGGGGTTCTTTGAAGTCTTGTTAAAGCTCTTTAATGAGGCAGGAGGATATGAGTGGCAATTAAGATCGTCCTCTTACACTCTCTTGCATATAGAGATGTACAGACACCATGAGATCAGTGAGATCCAACCTTCTTTTTTTCTCTAAACCAGAAGAACAATCCACTTCCTTATGTGAACAGAATTTTTTTTCCACCTATTATATTTTTACAGTTGTCATCCGTCACGGTGTTTATCTTTGGTAATCGGGTTGTTTCAGCTCAGTAGCTGGTGTAATGTGCTGGTAATCTGTAGGTTGTGAGTTTGTGTTCCAGAAAATTCTGTGCTGCCCTTGAGCAAACCACTTAACACAATTCACAGCCCAGCTGTTGCTACCAGATAACTTACACTCATGTTTGCTTAATCACACAATGGTCATATACAAATTGGAATATGCATTGGCATTTTTAAAATGTTTTATCTTTATATTGCAGATAAATATCTGGGGAACATGTTGTTAAGTTACGGACGGACCCTTAGCGTGACATTTACAGCTGAGCTGGAGGAACTCTTGCCCAGAAGTGTGACCGTGTTGCTGGGGGGCTCTGGAATATTGGTTTCTACTGATTTGTACTCTAAACAGGATCCTTATTCCCCACTGGAGAAGACACCCATCAACACCTTCACTCTCAGGTGTGTGTGTGTGTGTGTGTGTGTGTGTGTGTGTGTGTGTGTGTGTGTGTGTGTGTGTGTGTGTGTGTGTGTGTGTGTGTGTGTGTGTGTGTGTGTGTGTGTGTGTGTGTGTGTGTGTGTGTGTGTGTGTGTGTGTGTGTGTGTGTCTGTGTGTGTCCGTGTGTGTGTGTGTGTCCGTGTGTGTCCGTGTGTGTGTGTGTGTCCGTGTGTGTGTGTCCGTGTGTGTGTGTGTCCGTGTGTGTGTGTGTGTGTGTTATTCCCCACTATTCACTTACACGTGGCCAGATTATTAGTATTCAAGCTGCAATGTTTTCAAGTTTTAGCTGTAATTTTAGGCACAAAATGAAGAAACAATGTATTTATCATTGATTTATCACAGGACTGCACTACATGTTTAGATATATAATATATAGAAATATGTATGTGGTTGTTCTAATGGAAGTGTAAGCACCTTCACTGCTAAATGCTAGATATTACAGCAATAGTACATCCTTTTCCACCGTTTCCATTTAGTGCTGACAACTTGTGAATTGGTCACCAACTAAAAGCATCTTAATACCAGGTGGAAACAGGGCTATGCTATAGGGATTGCTAAAAATAGGTGTTCTTTTGTGTTTTCGGAGGAATTTCAGTTTCCATGGCAGACTGAAACATTTGTCCATTGAGACCACATGGCTTATTATCAAGTCTTTTTTTTTAAATTCTAATTGTGTGAATAACATGAATAAAAAATACAAAAAAATTGTGGTTTTACTTGGAAGGCTAACCTGAAGGTTTTTTGTTCATGGCAGCTTTTTCCTTTGCATTTATTGTTTTGACAAGTACTGTCCTACCAGAGTGACAAGAAAATGGATAAAAATGTTCCCATGATTCATTCATTCATACAGAGACATTCCTAATTGCATTGACTTAAATTGACTAGACCTGGTGTGCCTTAATGAAGAGCCTCGGTTTTTACGTAAAATAAAGTCTAAGGGACAATGTTTTCTCTAGATAAACACTAGTTATCGTAGCAGACACAGTCACGTTTCTAACTATTATGTTTCTGCTTTCTGGTTTCCAGGTTAACAGAGAAGGACGTAATTCCATCTATAGCCTCATTTGAGTTTCTCCGAATGCTTTACAATCTAACTGCTCTACACATCAGCAATGCAGGGGGCCAGAACTGTAAGTCATTGTTTATATATGTGTGCACATTTATGCAAATATATAAGGAAAAGACTGGCACTGAAATGCAATCAATTGCAGACTAAAAGAAATTGATTTAAAACAGCGAAAGGAAGTATTATATTGGTAGTATGGACTGTACTGTATTCACAGCGATTGAGAGGAGCCTTTAACTTTGGCCATGCCCCTGCCAATTCTTTCCTGGCCTGTGATTATTTAGTGATGGCATTCATTGTGACATGATTTCTGTGCTGTTTAGATTGAATTGAAAAAAGGGCTTCATTGAGAGATGTGCAGTGATGTGCTTAATCAACGTGCCAAGTAGAAAGCATCACATAGTGGAATACACAGTATAGCTGAGTGAATTATAGGTGTGAATGTTCTTCATTGTGGCATGAATTCATCGTTTTATTTTTCAAAATGTCAATCACCATATATTGTTTTGAACAGATCAAAAGATCGACATAGAAAAAATAATGTAATGATGGGTTTGCTTTTCATTCTGGAAAATTTACAACGGTAGCTAATGAAAAGCAATGTCATGAGTGTATTGCATTTAACATTGCTCCTGTGTAATGATTGTGATAGTGATTTATTAAATATAATTCTAAATGAATGAATAAATGAAATAATTTATATATAAAATAATTCTAAATATCAATATAGTGCCTACATTTTTAACTTCTATAGATTTAATAAATAAATATCACATACAAAATTAAAACAGACACAATAAAACTCCCATTTACATAAGTTAAACATTTTGAAGTCCAATTTTTAGACTGGAGCAGAACAGAAAGCAGCAGACATCTTCCCTCAGCAAAAAGTAAGGAGCTGTAAAAAAAAAGAAGAGAAAATTACTATAAGAGGAACCTAAACTGCATAATATACCTGCCAAGCTGCACTTACAAATACATTAAGAATGAATGCTGCAATATTTGAGTCTGAGACAAACAGTTTGATTTTGTATGATTCTACGGAGGAACACTGTGAATATATTTTCTCTCACTCATACTCTCTGTCTCTCTCTCGTCTGTTTTCTTCATCAAAAGAAGTAAATTACAGCTTACCAAAGAGCATAATTATTCCTCTACCACGTCCTGCACTGGCAGGTCTTCTTATTGATTCTTAGAAACTGGTGTGCTGAAATAAGTGCAGGTGTTTGAACTGCTCTCCCTTTCTTCTACAATGTGCACATGATAATCAGTTTGTCTGTATATGAACACGCAAGTACAACTGCCGGTATCTCTCAAAAAAACATTGTTCTTCCTGGCCATGTCCTGATATGAAAGTTAAGATGATGGGACTCTGAGACCCTGGAGAAGGAGAGAGTTCAGGTAAGAGAATCTTGATCTGTGTACAGCCTCCCTCTATCACTATTTATTAGGCGGCATTGGATCCCTGAGAGAAACAAAGACCCACTCACCTTCACCATATTCCACCTCTCCCCACTCAGCCCTTATTGATTAATTCATTCCTTGTTCATTTATTCATACAGTGATCAAAGATTCTATCTGCTTGCACCCAGTGGTCCTGATGTCAGTCTGTGTGTAAGCAAAGGTGAGAGAGAGGCAGAGGGGAGCTTTAGCAGGCAGGCTATGCAAGCTACATCGTGAGGGCAATTACAAGTGGACGGGACACCGTGATTTCACATTCAGTGTAGCTTCATTGTGCAATGCTCTTCCCAAATCCATCAGAACGGCTAAAACCTTCTTTACCTTCAGAGGGGAAAAAAACACAACTCTTCCACGAGCACTTTACTGATAATGGTTGATGCACTATTCTTATTACTAAAAAAACTCAATACATCTCAATACATTTCTCAATACATTTTACTGTTATGGCACTTCTTTGTGCCCCAAGGATTGGAAGCATGATTATTTCATTTCCTTTTATTTTATTTATTTATTTACACTATAACCATTTGAGGTAAGATTTGTTTATATTTTTTGAAAGACTTCAAAATTACAGCAAAACATATGTCAGGGTTATGTTTGTTTCTAGTTTGGTTACCCTGTTCTGTTCATGTCTGAGTTTGTTTTCTTGTAATCAGTTAATTAGTTGCATGTATATACTGTAAGCCCTCAGTTTCTGTCTATTCTTTGTCATGCTTTAGTTAACCTTACGGGTATGTGGTATGTTTCTCCTTGTTGATTCTCCAGTTTATTGTTTGGATATCTCCTTCGTCGTGCGCTTTAATACAGCCACAGCTTGTGACAGTTATATTGTTCATTTAACCCTTTGATGCACAACATGGGTCTAAATAGACCCGACTGAGTTTTCATTTTCTATATCTTTGCAAGAAATTAATTTCATCATTCAGTATTCCAGGTATTCCTCAATTAACTTGTTTTAGATCATTACAAATCCTTATTTAAATTTTTCCTTTCTTACTTTTCGAATAAAAATCGTTTTTGTTTCACTACCCTTCTAATGCGCAACATGGGTCTAAAAAGACCCGTATTCATGTTTCTTTGCTGAATATTTGAAATAAATATATTTTATCATTTATTAATCCAGGTATTCATTAAATATCTTGTTTTTGATTTCCACAAATCATTATTTTTATTTTCCCTTTCTTACTTTATAAACAAACACGGTTTTTGTATTTCTACATCAATTTTACACACATGGGTCAAAAATGACCCATATAGGAACCTTTGATATTTATAAATAGTATAAATATATTTACTGCAGAAAACTATTCACCTGCCACACATTTCAAAATTCAACACGGCTGCTTTTGTATATTTCATGCATGTAAGTTTTATTTAATACATTTTTTGTCACAGAAAATATTTGATATTTTGTGAAAGACATCTAGATATAGCCTAAAATTTGAACGTTTAGGCTAAGGTTACCTTGACCTTAAAATCCATTACTAGTGCAAAAGAGAAACATGTCCAATACTATTAGCTAGCTTGCGGTCGACATATTTTATTTTATCTAATGTTAGCTAGGTCAACAAAATAAAAGTTGCGATAGAAAGTTATATATACAAGTATTATATTGGTGCTGTTGGGCAGAAACCTTACCTGGGCAGTACCTCCATATTAATTTTTATTTGTGGTCATAAATCAATGCTATCGGTCACATAAGCTGTCGTGTGGTGGCGTTCTGGTGCACTATGGCTGCTGTCGCATCATCCGGGTGGATGCTGCACATTGGTGGCGGGGAGATCCCCCCTACAGTTGCACTACACTACAGTTCAATTTCAGTGTTATCGGTTATATGTGTGTTATGCGTGACAAAGTGGCCAATAAACATATTTCAAGTGTTACAGTAAATGTGTTGATCTAAACAACTGTGACAATGGTTATTTTAACAAAAAGTTTTCTTTATTCTTTTGTTTTATCACGTTTGCATAGATGGGTCATTTTAGACCCATGTGTGTAAACTTGATGTATTTACACAAAACCTAGGAAATATTAAAATATGAATTTGTGATAATTGAAAACAAGATATTTTGAATATTCATAAATCATGAAATTTATAGATCATGAAATAGAAAATGCTCAAATAAAGTGATTTCAAAAGGTGAAACAAAAAAATGCCGAGCCATGCATGAAATAACATAGGAAATGAATACGGGTCTTTTTAGACCCATGTTGTGCATTAGAGGGGGTATCCATAGCTTGCGCATCAAAGGGTTAATATTAATAATGAAATATTTATATTAATAATTAAATATATTATTAAAAATATATATATATTACAATGTAATTTATTCTTGTGATGGAAAAGTTGAATTTTCAGCATCATTACTCCAGTCTTCAGTGTCACATGATCCTTCAGAAATCATTCTGATATGATCTGATTTGGTGCTCAAGAAACAGTTTTATTATTAAAAATGTTGAAAACCATGATACATTACTTCATGGATCTTTGATGAATAGAAAGTTTAAAAAAAAAAAACATTTATTTCAATTTGTTGTTGTTGTTGTTGTTGTTACAATGTAAAGAAAAAATACTGTCACTTTTGATCAATTTAATTCCTTGCTGAATAAATGACTCAATTTCTTTACAAAAATATTTCTGACCCCAAATTTTTTAATGGTAGTGTGTGTATTTATTTGTTAGTAGGTTGTACAAATATTGTAGGTAATGTATATGCTTTTCTTGTTTTCAGACACCTCTCAACTCTCCAGGGTAACCCTTGAATCTGCAGACCAGACAACCTACCAGCCTGATGTGGTTCCACATGCTCCATGGGTGGAGGTGTGTACTTGTCCCACAGGATTCACAGGGCTGTTCTGTGAACTCTGTGCTCCTGGATTCACCAGGGAGACTCCTAATGGTGGACCCTTCTCCCCATGTATACCTTGCAACTGCAATCAACATGGGACCTGCCATCCTGAGACAGGTTGGGAGTGTGTTTGTTTATTAGCATGCAGTCTGTACACAGCTTCCATGCATGATGTCTTCAAATGATACATACCGTTTCCCCATCATAACAATGTTCCTTGAATCCAAGTCAGTTGTGGCAGCCAGCTTGGTATCGCCTCTGAGCAGATATTTTCTATGTAGATACCAGTAGCTCACTTTACGACTTAAAATAGTCTAGAAAATCTGAAAATATTTTGTTGCAGAATGCTGAACACATTTACAATTTATTATTGATTCAATTTATACAAAAGTATGGGTAACACTATAATTTAGGGTCCAATTCTCACTATTAACTAGTCGGTTATTAGCTAGGATATTAGCTGTTTATTAGTACTTATGAAGCACATATTAATGAATTATTCTGCATGAGCATGACCATATTCTACACCCCTTAATCCTACCTAATTCCTACCCAATAGCTAAACTTAACTATCACCTAACTAACTATTAAAAAGCAGTAATTAGGATTTTTCTTTTTAAAGAAACTGGCACTTATTCATCCAGGATACTAATTTCCTATGATTTATCATGCAAGTGTCAGATGTGGCTTTTTCTTGTAGCTCTTCCTAAAGGCCAGCAGCATCTTCTTTTGACTGTGGCAGATAAAGCTGGTGTTAGTGTGTGCTGTTCAATGAAGCTTCAAGCACCAGGGGTCTCTTTCTCAAACTACAAACTCTCATGTACACTTCTGTCACTGTGCTGGTTAGATCGTGTTTGCTTTGTTCTTGTGTACGGAATAGCCTTCATCTCTCATAAAAACAATATAATGACGTGAGAAAAATGTGTTTGTGTTGGGCCATTTATAAACCGAAATTTAATTTGAAAATATACAGTGACTTACAAGAAATGAATGTGTAATTACTACTTTAACAAGTAAAAAAGACATGGTTCTGCTGTTTCCACAGTTCATTAAGCAGAACAACCATTTTAAAATGTGCTAATAATAAGAGAAGACTCTTGAATACCAAATCAGCACATTAGAAGGATTTTAAGGATTATATAACACATGCATCTATATCATATATAACGTATATAACAAGTATCTTTTACTCACCAAGGCTGCTTTTAACTGATCAAAAGTACAGTAATATTTTAATATATTTAAAACTGCAATTTATTGCTGGGATGGCAAGCAGCCATTACTCCATTACATAACATTTCTTATTATCATCAATGTTGAAAAAATGTGCTGCCTAATGTTTTAAAATATTTTTTATTCGAAAATTCAAAAGGAAAGCATTTATTTGAAATAGAAATCTTTTTTAACATTATAAATGCTTTTACTGTCACTTTTAAACAATTGAATGCATCCTTGCTAAATAAAAGTATTAATTTCTTTCTTTCTGTCAAACAAACAAACAAACAAAAACTTACTGACCCAAAACTTTTGAACTGAAGTGACTATAATTTTTAAATATCTAAAAATAGAAAACATTTATTTTAAACAGTAATAATTTTAAACTGTAAACATGTTTTTGATTGTATTTTGATTAATTAAATGCTACATTTGATGAACAGAAGGACGCATTTCAAAAACAATGTCTTAAGTGTTTCAAATTTCAAACTTTTGAATGGTTGTGTAATAGACGTACAAGTACAGCTCATATCTCTTCTAGATAAAAAAAGAGGTAATCCATCTATCAAAAAAATATGATTTGATCTTTTATCTTAAAGATAGAACTTCTATTCCTACAGCCACCATATAGACCGCTACAATTTCTCCCATTCATTTAAGTGGTCTGCTTATACTGTCTCTGACTATAGGCTTCCAAACAAATTTTTATACCTCCAGCACAATCACTCAAATGTTCCTCTTACAATCCTCTTCTTGTTCCTGTCATTTTCTGTATTGCTTCCCCTTGTTCCTCTCTCACTTTTTCATTCCTCCTCTTGTTCTTTCCGTGACCCTATTAGCAGAATGGCAGGCTGTCTTTCTGTACGGGGTAGATAGAGTTCACGCTCGCTACTCTTTCCTCTATTAGACCTGCGAGCCAGCCACCGACTAATTAATTGTAATGTCGATTGCACAACAAAGAGTGTTTATTTGTGTCTGTCTCCTTTCAGCGACGACTCCTGGCATGGATTTGAACGTTTGTCCTCCCATCTTTCTTTCTCTCTCTCTCTTTGTCTGTCTCTCTTTCACACTGATGAGTAATTTCACTCTCTTAATATGCGGCAAATTAAACCTCCATCGTTCTTATTATGAGCGTAATGTGTGATTAGTTTGGTACAAGTCTTTAACATTACAAATTAATGTCAGACATGACTTTATCTACCACTTGAGGTAGGCAAAAGGTTGAAGCAGAGTGAGAGTATGCGAGAAAAAGGGAGGGAATGGAAGGAAGAAGGAACTAGGGAATCAAAGCAATAGGAGATCAAGGGGGGCAAAAGATCGAACGAAAGTATGCACAGGAAATCTCCAACTCCCAGGAGAAAAGGAGGAGCCCACTCCTTTTATTTATTTATGAACCTGTTTAACTTCAAAGCAGATTTTGCCCAAGTCACAGCGGGTGCTGTTCATTGCCATTTAGCTGCTTAAATATTTTCCAGGTTCGTAAATAGAACTAGGCCCGCATGGGGTCCCCGCTGAAAAGCAGCACGCTTATCATTATTAGCATATGCATACGTCACTCTTCACTTTTCTCTGCACCAAAAACTCAGTGTGTTTTAATCTAATTTCCTATTAGTAAGCCTAATTTTGTTTTGTTAGTCCTTTGAGCATTGATTTGATTTCATTCCCGCTTCAGAAATGGTTAGTTCGCTGACAGGCCACGCCCCTTTGATTTATTATTTCCAAGTGAGAGGGTGTTTCTCACGGTAATTGTAATTGGCTGTTAATTGGTTATTAGTCTTGTCACTTAGCACATGTGTTGTTTGTTTGGTCAGAGATAAGAGAGGAGGGAAGCTCGCCTCTTCGGGCTGAAACCAGTGGTGCTTTGTAATTGTGATATATTTAAAGTCTACCCGTTTGTGTCATTTCTATTTTCCTGCGAGCAATACAACAGATTGTAAAATGTTAATATTTGTGGTGGAAAAATGGAACTGTGGCACAGTGTTGTGCTGCAAGGCTAATGAAGTCAAGCATATGTCCTTCGGATGCACATATATTTTGCGTGCGTGTGTTTTCTGGTCTCTTTCTTGAGTGCTTTTCCTGACCGTGTTAATTTAAGGGATCCCATCCATAAAATTAGGCGGAGAGGGCTTGTATTTGTCTTGGGAAAATGAGGGAAAGAACAGAGAGAGCAGCAGAAAAAGAGTAGGTTTCTGAGAACGGGGTTTTCATATAAATGTATATTAACTGTCTGGAACAGTCACAGAGTGTAATAGCATTCATATCTCACCCTAGTCCATTGTGTCTTTTTAATTTTCTTTCTCTCTGCATCCTTTGCGAAGTAGATGTGCATTTGTTTTAGATCAGTAAATATAGCAAAAACAATTAATTACTTTATACTGCATAAAACACCATATAAAAATAACATCCATCTATTTTTCCTAGCAAAGGATGTTTGTCTGAAAATGTACTTAATTAAAACCAGCAAACAAAGAAGAAAAACCACACAGAGTCCCACACGCTTGTACAAAGAGAGTTGAATGGTCACCTCAGACTTAGATATATTCTTAGATCCACATGTTATACGATGTGCAGTGTTCAAATGTGTTTTAAAATGTGTTTTATAATGGTTAGTCATACATTTAAAGGTGCTGTAACTTTTCTTCTAAAATGAATCCTTTTTTTATTGCCTGTGTGTGAAGGGGTTGTAATCAAACATTACAATGATCCACTTGTCGGGTTTTGCTATTACCTCTGAAGGCCAGTATTCCTATTTCTATTTGAAGTCTCCAGGTCGGATTTTCTGCGAAATCCATCGGATGTGACGTGCATGCGCGCTCCCGAGCCTCTCTCCTTTTTATATACAGTCTATGCGACGGCACTGCGGCTGACGACATGGAGTCTGATAACACCCAAAAACGACCTGCCTCCAGCACAACACAAACTCCACATAAACATAAAAAACAAAACAAAAATGTATCTGCTGAAGCTCGTCAGGCCAAACGTGAATCGGATCGACTTGGGACGAAAACACGGATCAACATCGGCAGAGCGTTTGAATTATGGAGAGACCTCCGCTATTTTTATTGTGATAAATTACAAGTTTTCAGATATGCTGAAATAATGGTAAACTGTAATGAAATAGCAAGGTAAACTACAACATACAAGGCTTGGGCGGTATCCAAATTTTGATACCGTCAAACCTCCTCCCTATTTTACCGCGGTATACGGTATTACCGCGTGATAATTCAAAATTATGACATAAGGCTCAGAAGGCATCACCAAACTGTTGGTTTGAGCAGGGATGAGTCACAATTTTCGAATATTTGATTTTATTATAGAATATGGAATAGGTTGTGGGATTATTGTCTAAAAAAAATCCCCATGTTTTCCGTTCTGATGCGGTGGTGACACGTTCAACCAGAGGGTGGCGATGCCAATAATGCATCTAAAAGCTGTCAATCAACTCTCAGACAACAGGAGAAGATGCACATTGTCTCACACCAGAGCATGCGAGCGGAGTGGTAATATTTCCTCCAGAGCAGAGAGCGCATTTCTGAAGATCCCGCGCCGCGTGCTCAGTCCACTCAGCGTCGCGCGCTCAGAACGCCCGCAGTGACATGCTGGTTAGAAAACATGTGAAGTAGGGCTGCCCGTGCACGACTAAAGGTTTTTTTTTCTAGTTGACTAGTAGTAGTTGATTTAAGCCATTAGTCTAATCACATATTTATATTGATTAAATTACTTAAATATATATAGGAGAGAATGCTAAACCATAATGAGCGTTTTCGTAATATATTGCCTATTCTGCATCTCAAAGCACGCATAAAGCTTGCCACAAAGAACCGGCAAAAGTAATTATAATGCATGAAACATTTGAATTGTTTATTAATGAAAAACTTTCTATGTCAGTGGCTGCACAGATA